CAACGCAAACGAGCAAACGCTAACAATTTCATTTGCATTGGGCTCGAGACATGCGAAACTCGACGCCCAAACCCGACCCAATCACACGTAGCCTAGTATATGTTTAAATATTAATTGAAGTATATCTATATAAAATTACGTATTAATCATATAAAGCAATAAGTGAAAAAATACGTGTAGAAAAATTATGACGAAGAAATAACTATGTTAAAAATGTATTATAAACTGTGCAACCATAATAATAAAAGCTATATACACATATTCCAAAGCAAATAGTACCAAGCAACGAGCTGACGACCGAAATGAGTGCTGGATTGTCTAGAGTTGTTCTTTTTTATAAGCGACTTTCATTAATTCAAGAACACGAGAATTCTTCTTTTAGATTTTTTAGGAATTAAAGGATCTAATTTTTTTCGGAGCTTCAAAGGTTCTTTACTGGATGAGAACTTCATGAGACCATGAAGGAGAGACTTTTTTCACATCCATGAAAGAACTCTTTTCATAGTCGAGAAGTATAAAACTCTTCATATAGATAACCAAATATCGTTATGTAAAAGAAGTAGAAGTAGGCTTATATTTGGCTTAGTATTTTTTATCAGTTTTTTTAACTTAAAAGTCTATTTAATGTTTGTTTGTCTTGAAAAAAATTGGAATTATTCAAAATTCGGGTTTGAATGAAAGTTATATGCATTCTATATGTAGGTAAATCTCAATAAACCTGATATTGTGTTACATTATCTGTAGTTAACTTTCGTTTGTCGAGTAAAAATATCCAGCAATTCAAAGCGTGAAAATGTTTTACATGGAAAACTTTAACAAGAACAAAACTAGCCCCCTGGATGGTGGTGGGGTGTACACTTGTCAAAATTTCTAAGTGGGAGAGTAGTTAGGTGGAAAACAAAGACTCGCGAAGAAAAGGATGTAGTGCATTTAGATTGGATTTGTTTAATGGTCTTCATTATGGGAGACTTTATCTCTTTCTTGAATAATAATAAATAGTTAAAGAATTTTTCCCGATTTTATTTTTGCCTTTAAGTTTTATTTCAATTTTGTCTAAAACAATGAGAACTCCGCTTTTAGGCAGTGTCTAAATTTATATTATTTTTACTAGTATACGGGAATTAAGTCCTAAGATTGTCTGGTAGATTTGCTATGTCGCATATAAACAATCTAAGTTATATCACGACATACCTGTCTCCGAGTTGCTCTTTTGACGTAAATCGCAATGACCGGTCCTGTTGTGTTACTGATTATCTCTTTGGCTTCCCTTCGTGTCACGTGAGAAACATTTACGTCATTGACCTGTCAATCGAAACGCACCATGCAGATGAGACATAGGTCCTTTGCAGCATATTTCCAATGCAATTCACTTTATGTATTTGTCCTTGATTTCATATTGTCGAGGCGGTGTCCATTTCGTCCCCAAAAACAGTCCCACAATGCAATGCAACTCGACCCAGTTTTTTCTCAACCTCGAACAAGCTTATACGCACATTTCACGGTGCACACTCAGTAAATAAAGTGTTTTCACGACAGCAATGAAAAAAAAGCCAGAACAATGCATTTTTTTTTTTTTCTATGACATGACGGGATTTTTTTAATTTCTCAAAGTTGAAAAGTACTGGTTGTATTGTTTTTCCCTTGCATCGTAGAAACCACTGTACATATCCAAGAAACGGCACCTAGCTCCCCATTTACACTGACTATTGGGTTGAGTTCCTGCATAAAAAATAACTTACCGCCAATATTCTATCACCAGGGTAAAGCTTAGCATAGGCTGGTCCTTTTGGGACGACGTGTTGGACAAATATTCCTGGATCCCCAGGAATGATAGGGGAATCAAGTCCTCCTTCAATCTTGAACCCTAACTCATCTGAAACGGAATCAAGTACATGTACCATTAATTTTGATCTGAATCACTAAAAGCTAAACAAGCATTTCACAAGCCATGTTGTATGATACAAGAATAATGGGGAATTTTTCTCTGATGGGAAATATCTTTTCATTCAAATCGACACCTTGTTCCTGTCGAAGAACATGTTGAAAACCCGTCAATGGCTTTTAAAATACACTATAATAAATAATAAATTTGACGTAAAAATAATAATTTGACGTCAATAACGCGAAATATATATGGGGGTATGTCCAGACCAGAATGAAATTAAACCCACCATCAAAGTGGCGGCAGGCGGTGCATTAGCACGATAAGGTATTAATTGTATTCTTGGTTTTCACTTACATCATCATGAATTTCAAAAGCGTAAATTCGCGTTATAATGAAATAAAAGTTTCATAATCTTGTGAAGCGGGCAAAACTACATATTCTGCCCAAATTTCGATACCGCTGTAAAGCATTTCGTTGCGGAACTATAAGCGAGTAAACATGAAGCAATTTGGTTAAAATGTATGGAGCGGCCATCTTGGTGTTCCAAGTTGGTACACCTACATAGCGGACGAAATTTCAAAGGCTTAAGATGATGGAATTGTTTATATTTCTGACTATAATTCAATTAAATATACTTTAAATAGATATTCAAAACGTGTCTAAGGGAAAATCTTTCAATTAGAGTAAATTATTTTAC